CTAGGGGGCAGTGTACTGCAGTGGGGGGGCTGCTCCTTGAGGGACCGGACTGAGTGGGGGGGGGGAAGAGGCTGGAGGGGACAATGAGGGTCCCCCCCCCAGCCCCTGTGACGCTGGGGCTGGCGACGGGGGGGGGGCTGCGGGGGGGATCCCAGGTGCGGGGAGCTCCCCCCTGGCCCCTCCCCCCAGCAGTGCTGCAGTAACAAAGAACGCCTCATAAATCAGCGCCCCCTCCCACACCTGGCTTCTCCCCTCTCCCATTGGTCCACTCCCCGGGCCTCATTTGCGTGCCTGGCCCCGCCCCTCACGCTCCTGGCCCCGGATTGGTCGCTCCCCCTCGATCGCTGTTAACATTCCATCCATCCCCCCCACACCCCGCGCACGTCACCCCCTCCCCACACACTCCCCCCTCCCCCGCCGCAGCCCCGATCTGACGCGCCGGGGCTGGTGGGCTGGACCCCCGGGCTCGCTCCGTCCGTCCCGTCCCGCCGCCTGCCGCATCCCCGGGGCCGGGGCCGCCGACGCGATGAGCGGGGGCGCCTGGCCGGGCTGGCTGCTCTGCAGGCTGGGGCTGGTCCTGCTCTGCCGAGGTACCGCAGTGCCTGGCCCGGGGGGGGGGAGTGTGTGTGTGTGTGTTTGTGGGTCCCCCTGCCGCCCCCTGCCGGAGGGGCTGAGCCCTGCTGGGGGGGGGGTACACACCTCGGGGTGTGCCCCTGGGTGCACAATTTGCTCTGGGTGTGAGACACTAGGATGCACAATTTGATGTGTGTGTGAGAGAGAGAGACACTAGGATGCACAATTTGGTGTGTGTGTGTGTGCGCCTCTGCGGTGCACAATTTGCTGTCTGTGTGTCTCAGACACAGGGACTCACAATTGTCTCTCTTAGCCTGCATTTTATCCAAAGGGGGTGCACAGTTTGATCTGGGTTTGCAAACGGGATACACAATCTGGTGTGTGTGTGTGTGTGTGTGTGTGTGTGTGTGTGTGTGTGTGTGTGTGTGTGTGTGCTCGTCCTCCTGCGTGGAGGAGGATGACGCCTGCTCTAGTGTGTGTGTGT